AATGTCTGAGAGCATCCTCTTGCTGTTCTCATGTAGCTCCCTAGTCAGTTCTGCGTTCAGTTTTCCCCTGCCTCTATTTGCCTCTCAAAATTCTAGTTATTAACAAATTTAAATTATAGTCACAAAACAGGGTCATTCCTGTTTAAATGGTATTATGCAGCTAAGGACTTGGTATCTACTATTTAGCTATTGGGTAGATAATAAGGTTTGTTTTAATCAGTTTTTATCTTATATGCATGTGTGTATGCCTGTAAGTATGTATGTACACACTTGTATGCAGATGCTCTTGGAGACCAGAAGAGGACATTTATTTAATCCCCTAGAACTGGATTCATAGACAGTTGTGATCAACTGTGTGGGTGCTGGGAACTGAACCCAGGTAGTCTGGAAGAACAGCAAGTGCTTTTAACCATTGAGCCATCTCACTAGCCTGAGGTTTTTGTTTTGCTTTGGATTTGGTTTTTTGAGACAGAATTTCTTTGTGTAGCAGCCTTGGCTGTCCTGGAGCTCCTTTGTAGATGAGGCTAGCCTTCAATTACAGAGGTCTGCTTGTCTCTGCCTCCCAGAGTATTGGAATTAAAGGTGTGCACTACCACACCTGGCTTTGGTTTAGTTTTTCTGAAATCAGGTTTGTAGAGGTACAATTTGCCTATGGTAGAATTTAGCCTTTAAACATGATAGCACTTGTGATTTGATGCATGTAGGTAGTACTATGTAATGATCATCTCAATAAAGATAAATATATAGAGTATCTACATCCTTCTCACATGCCTTTGCAGGCATCTCCCCACCAGCACACTCCTGAGCTTTTTGTACTGTAGATGGGTTATCCTCATTTCAGAGTGTCATTTATATGGAGTTATTATGCAGTTTTGTTGCGTTTCCCTTGAGACTGATGCTTGTGAAGTTTATCCATGTTATCAGTGTGATGCACTGGTGCTATTGGACGTGGAACCTGAAATTAATAAATATATAGCCAGTACAATTGCATGCAAAGAAGGAAAGGTTTTTGTTTTCAAGAAGTGTGCCTTGGCATTGTTTCCTGACCATTGGATGTTACCTTAGATGTTTCATGATATAATTGGAAAAAAACACTGAAAGGGGGCCTAGGAAGCTTTATTTCTTTGTTTTAAACTTCCTTTGAAAACTTGGACAAATCATTCTATATTTATTTATTTATTTATTTATGGTTTTTTGAGACAGGGTTCCTCTGTATTGCTTTGGTGGCTGTCCTGGAACTTGCTCTGTATACCAGGCTGGCCTCAAACTCATTGAGATCCTCCTGCCTCTGCCTCCCGAGTGCTGGGACTAAAGGTGTGTGCCACCAATGCCCGGCACAAGTCATTCTATTTTGAGGGATTATTTTCTTTACCTTCTTTAAAGTTCCAACCCGAGTGCAGAGTAACTAAGCATATTAATAGAAAAGGGTGATGTTTTGTGTTTGTGTGTCTTTTCTTTTCCTTCCTTCCTTCCTTCTTCCTCCACCTCATCTCCCTCTGTCCCTCCTTCCCTCTCTTCCTTCCTCCTTCCTTCCTGTCCTACTTTATTGAGTGTACTGGAAGAGGACAGCACTAGGGTGCCACTGCAAGCTTTTTTTTTTTTTTAAAGAATGAACAAATTTTTGCCAGGCGTTGGTGGCGACACCTTTACTCCTAGCACTTGGGAGGCAGAGGCAGACAGATCTCTGTGAGTTCAAGGCCAGCCTAGTTTATAGAGCTAGTTCCAGGACAGGCTCCAAAACAATACAGAGAAACCCTGTCTTGAAATGCTCCCCCCCCCCCAGAATAAAGAATGAAGAAACTTTTAAAAACCTGCCCACATGAAATAAAGATATGTCTAGCTACATGGCCTCTTCAACCCATTCCTTCTGTCCTCCTCCATCTACCTAACCACTCTGCTTAATTGTCCAGTCTCCTGGATCTGGATATACAGGTAATTGTGATCTGTTTGACATGGGAACTATTAACTGAACTGTGATTCTTCAAAAGAGCAATATATGTTCTTAGCCATGAACCATCTCTCTAGCCCAAGTTTTCTTTTTGTATTGTATAGAGTATCTCCTACCCCTTTTCATGCTAGTTAATGATTGAACCCAGAGTCCTGTGCTTGCTAGACAAGTGTTCTGTATACAGCTGAACTAAATCTCCAGCATCTCTACTCCCTCCTTAGATGCATTTATTTTTTTAGTGTATTTTAAGTGTTCAATCCCCTGGAACTGCATTAGCCACCATGCAGGTGCTGGGGACTGAATTCAGGTCCTCTGCTGGAGCACTCAGTCACTTTTCCAGCCCTTTTTTTTTTTTTTTTTTTTTTTTTTTTTTTTCATATTCTTGAGACAAGAGTCTCACTCTTCAGCCCATATTGGCTTGTACCTTGTGGTAGGCCTCCTGCTACAGCCTCACAGTACTGGGGTGACAGGCTTGATCCATCACATCCACTGAGGACTGTTTCCTTTCCTGTGATCTGTCAGCATGTAGACTCCACAAAGGTCCTGGGTGAGTACTGTTGTAGTGTGATAGAAGGAAGGTTTTGAGGAGATATGAATGTTGTGAGAAAATCTTACAAAAAGTTTCTTTTTGTCTTTTTTTTTTTTTTTTTCCTTTTTGGCTTCTGTTTTTATAGATCCAGCATGTCTGGCTTGCACCTAGTAAAACAAGGTCGAGACAGAAAGAAAATAGACTCACAACGAGATTTCACTGTGGCTTCTCCAGCAGAATTTGTTACTCGTTTTGGTGGAAATAAAGTGATTGAGAAGGTAAGTTGCAACTTACTAAACAATTCTGCCTAAAGTATGTGAGACTTAGTGCCTACATTTGTTATTTCTGTCTGTGCAGAATTTTATGTAGGTTTTTCGGAACTTTGCCTTTTTATGTAGGGCTGACCTTTCTGTTCCCCTAACATGCTACTAATACATAATTTCTCTATTGAATATATATATATATATATGGTGATAATTTGGGTATAATTGATAAGGACTTGAAACTCTGCTTCTAATGTTCTTTTTGAAAGATCTTGTAGGTTTTCTGTTTATTTGTTTTCAAGACAGGCTTTCTTCATGTAGCCCTATGTGTCCCAGAACTCACTCTATAGACCAGGTTGACCTCTAACTCAGGAGATCCACCTGCCTCTGCCTCCTGAGTGCTGGGATTAAAGTCATGGGCCACCACTGCCCAGCAGAACTTGTGGCTTTGCAGGCAGAGCTGCACTAGCCTGGCAGGGAGGGTGTAAAGAATAATTGATAACCTTGTATAGTGCCTGCTGCTGGTAGTGGGGGTGGGGGTGGGAGATAGATATGATAGCACTGGATTCAGAGAAGTGGAGACAGTTTCAGAAGAGAAGGCTTAAGCAGGCTCATAGACCTAGTGCTTACTGACTTCTACGAGATATTTGAGATGTTTAGAGGAAATAGGCCACATGAAATACTAAGAGATGCCAGATAGTTTGAAGCACTTGGGAAGTAGACATAGGCAGATAAAGGATTTTTGGTCAGCCTAGTTTATGTAATGAAACTCTTTGTGTTGTCTGCCCCCCCAAAACAAAACAAAACAAAACAATTCTGTGTCATTGTTATCTAAAACTTGTCAGGGCTGAGAGGATATCTTGGTTGAAATAGGTTATAGTGATTAAAAGATCAAACCATAACCAGTGTTCCCTCTCTTAAAAGTATTGCTTCATCAGTGTCGTATATTTGTCTCTCAGTAAAGGTAGATATGTGTTTTTTATAGGCTAATATTTTCAGTGGTGTGATTACAAAATATATGTAAGGAGATAGGTTAATTTAAAGAAATTTCTCAGGATTATTTGATTCTTGTGACCATGAAGCTGAGCAGTTTCTTTCACTCGAAAGCACTGGGATTCAGCATTTTAGAGAACAGCAATTGATATCAAGTGTCTTCTTACAATAGAGAATAGTGTATAACATCCTACAGGGTAAACTTTCTTCATTCCTTATTTGAGATGTGTCATGTTTCTTAGTAATAGTTATGATAGAATAGTTTACAGACAATATGAGTACTTAATGATTTTTTTGAATTTTTTCAAGAAGTGAACTTGGAAAGAAATTAGTTCTAGCTAGCATATGTTGAAATATTTGCTTAGCAAACCTTTAAAAATATTGCTTGATCTTATAAGAGTTGTTTCTCAGCAACTTGGATTAGCAACAGTTTTTTTTCTTAATTCTTTTTCAGACAAAGGGAGATGTCTAAAAATCTTTGTTTTTCTATCACTGTCTTTCTTTGTGACCTTTGCTTCCATTTCCCATATCATATTCCTTCCTCCCAGGTTCTTATTGCCAATAATGGTATTGCAGCAGTGAAATGCATGAGATCTATCCGTCGGTGGTCTTATGAAATGTTTCGAAATGAACGTGCAATCCGGTTTGTTGTCATGGTTACACCTGAAGACCTTAAAGCCAATGCAGGTGAGTTATTAGCTTTATGTCACTTTAGGTATAAAACATTGAATAGACTTGTCTGTAAGTAGGAGAATATTACCTTAGGGAGATTCTCAAGCCTAAGGTTGCCAGTGAAATCCTATGCAAGGATTTCTCTTTTTAAAAAGTATCAGTAATAAAAACAAATAATAAAATATATCAATACTAGATGCACAAAAATGACTGTACTGTAATTAACTACCACAAAGGTCCCTGTGGTCTGAGCTAAGTAGGTAGAAATTTAACACAAGGCCCCCACCTGGTGGGAGTGATGGGTCAGGAGGGCTGGAGCCAGGCTGGGTGGACCCTCAAACCTGGCTAAACTTCCAAGGACCACCAGGTGGTCCTGGGATCGGGCCAGGGGTTGGTCCAGGCTCTGAAGTGCTGGGGATTTCCCCTTGTCCCCCACCTTATGAATTCTGTGGAGGGATGGCATACTGTGGACCTCAGGTTGGACTGGGTCTGGTGCCTCAAGTTGGTCTGGAGGCTTCGCAGCCTGAGGGCCAGGCAGGAGTGGAGAGTAACTCGGAAGGGTCCTCCCCTGGTCCCTGTAATGCCAGGCCCAGTGTCCCCGTGAAATTGGAGAAGGTGGAACCAAGTCCCGAAGAGTCCCAGGACGTGAAAGCCTTGCAGAAGGAACTAGAGCAGTTTGCCAAGCTTCTGAAGCAGAAGAGGATCACCTTGGGGTACACCCAGGCCGACGGGGGCTCACCCTGGGCATTCTATTCGGGAAGGTGTTCAGCCAGACTACCATCTGCCGCTTCAAGGCCCTGCAGCTCAGCTTCAAGAACATGTGTAAGCTGCGCCCCCTGCTGGAGAAGTGGGTGGAGGAAGCCGACAACAATGAGAACCTTCAGGAGATATGCAAAGCCGAGAACCTGGTGCAGGCTGGAAAGAGAAAGCGGACGAGCATTGAGAACCGTGTGAGGGGGAATCTGGAGAATATGTTTTTGCAGTGCCCAAAGCCCAGTCTGCAGCAGATCAGCGCCATTGCCGATCAGCTTGGGCTGGAAAAGGATGTGGTCCGAGTGTGGTTCTGTAACCGGCGCCAGAAGGGCAAACGATCAAGCACCGACTATACCCAACGAGAAGAGTATGAGGCTGCTGGATCCCCTTTCCCAGGGGGGCCTGTATCCTTTCCTCTGCCCCCAGGGCCCCATTTTGGTGCTCCAAGCTACGGGAGCCCCCACTTCACCACATTCTACTCTTCAGTCCCTTTTCCTGAGGCTGAGGCCTTAACCTCTGTTCCCATCACTACTACTATGGGCTCTCCCATGCATTCAAACTGAGGCACCAGCCCTGGCTGGGGATGAGGTGAGCTGAGGCAAGGGAAAAGAAGTAGAGAACCTGGAGCCATCACAGCTGTGGGGTTAATTAAGTTCCTTTACTGAGGAGGGATCACAAGCATAAAAGGGGTGGGAGAAGATGGAAGTTTCAGTGATGCTATTGATCGTGAGCCCATCACTCAATGTTTTATTTTTAAATAATAAAGCCTGGGACACATTAGGGGAAAAAAAAAAAGAAATTTAACACAAGTATTTGGACTATGAGGTAAATGACTTTTCCAGTGTTAAGTATTTGTTAGGTCACATATGTTAGTGTGTCTAACTGAAAATGTTTGGATGAAAATAATATTTCCCTTATGGGATTAGAGAGTATTTTAGCATAAAGATTCCCATTTTATCTTTGACCACTGAGGGAGACATATCTTAAAACCCAAATGGATTTTCAATACAATTTTTAATTTAATTTTTTGTTTTTTTGAGACAGGGTCTCACTATGTAGACTAGGCTGGCCTTGAACTCACAGAAAGCCACCTGCCTCTGCCTTTGATATTCTGGGATTAAAGGTGTATACTACTCCTACTCTACCCCTCCCCCTTAAAAGTTTGTATTTTATGTGTATGGGTATTTTGCCTGCATGCACATATTAGATATTAATTCTTTTTTAGAAGTATGTGTGTATTTGTGCATGTGTGAGTTTATGTGTACTACGTGCATGCAGGAGCTGCCAGAGGCCAGAAAAGGGAATCTAATCCCCTGGAACTAGAGTTATAGATGGTTGTGAACCACCATGTAAATACAATATGTACTCTTAACTAGTGAGCCATCTATCTCCAAGTTGTTTTTTTTTAGAAGAAGAATAAAGAAACCGAAAATTAGATAGATGATTCTGTGAGTAACTTGAAAGATCTATTTGAGGAAGAACAATTACAGAATATAACTTCAGATTTAGATGTGTCAATTATTGCAGGTATGTAATATAGCTAACACTGCCCTCAAAAGAACAGCTAGAAAATGAAGAGGGCTGTGTGACATCTCATAAGAGTATAAGGGATAGACTCAGGAAGCCAAGTCTATGAGCAAAGATGAGAAATGAGTAAAGAGATAGGAGAAAAATGGAAAAGACAATTTTAGGGTTGAGGTGGCATTTCAGTGGCAGAGCGCTTGCCTTGCTAGCATTCATGAGGCTTTGGGTTTGTGTTTTAGTGCCATGAGAAAAAAGAAGATGTGTCAACAGTCTAACAAATACACAAGACCACGAAGACCAGTGGCCCATCTAACAATTAGGAAACCACTGGGCCATTGGTAACAGTGAAGAATAATTTCAGTGGGATAATATGAGTATGATTCCCTCAGATCTAGAGTTAATAGAGGCTGTGAACCACCATGTGGGTGCTGGAAATCAAATAGGGTCTTCTGCAAGAGCAGCCAGTGCTCTTAACCACTGAGCCATCTCTCCAGCCCCAACTTCAAAGTTTTCTGCTGGAGGATTTCTGGCAATTCCTTCCAATGATTTACATTAGGAGATATTTTAAGGTAGATGAGCCTCTCACTTGCTGACACCCCACATCTCAAGAATAAGTTTAGCCTCATACTCATTCCTATCACACCCAAGATGCTAGCTAGTCTGTATGTAGGATATGGCAGTGCTATATTGGAACAGACATCCGTTCATGAGTATCTTCAACTCTGACATCGTGTTCAAGACAAGCCTCATTATTGGCACATCACCCTTTTGAACAGTCTTGTATATATCAAAGTTCTTGAGGTCTCTGGTGCACAAGAACAAGAGTCTTTTACTTTTGCACATGTCTTCTGTGCCTTTGTTCACCAGTTCTTTTTTTTCTTTACTGTTTTCTTAGAGACAGAGACTCATGGATCCAGGCTGGCCTCACAGTTATGTAGATGAGGATGATTCTGTTTTTCTGTGTCCCAAGTGCTTGGAATATAGACATGAACTACCATGCCTTATTTATGTGCTGCTTATGACCTAACCCAAGGTCTTCATGCTACTAGCCAACACTCTACCAATTAAATTACATCTTCCATATTCTCTATTGTCCTTAATAATAGCAATTGAAAATTGATTTGTACAGAACCTTGAATCTTGTTAGCTGGCATCTGTACTATTTTTTGAAGTCTTTCACACTCTTCTCTGTGTGTCTCTCTGTCACTGTGTGTTTGTTGTGTATGATATAGGTGAACAACTTTTTTTCTTTCTAGGGCTACTAGAAAAGATTAAGCCATAGTAGAAAAATTATATAGATTTGACTACATAAAAATTGTTATTTTGTGGGGCTGGAGAGTTGGCTCAGCAGTTAAGAGCACTGCCTGCTCTTCATGAGGACAAATTCCCAGCACCCACATGTCAACTTACAACTGTCTGTAACTCTAGTTCCAGGGTGTCTGACACTCTTACACAGACATACATGTGGGCAAACACCAATACACATAAAATAAAAATAAATACATTATAAAAAAGAAGAAAGGAAATTGTTATTGTGAGGGGCTGGAGAGATGGCTTAGCTCTTCCAGATAATGGGTTTGATTCTCAGTATCCACATGGCAGCTAACAACCATCTGTAACTCCGCTTCTAGGGTGTCTAACGCTCTCTTTTGACCTCTGAGGGCATTGTATACACATGCTTTACCAACATAAATACAGGCAAAGCACCCACACACTTAACAGCAAAATCTCAAAAAAGTTTTGCTGTTTTGCAGCTAAAATACAAATATGTTTAAGACAGACAATAATATGGGGAAACATTGGCAACTGTTTCTGCCTGTAATGTAAGAAGAAAACATACTTCCATACCAAATATGTGGAGATTATGAATAAGTAGTCCATAAAAGAAGACATAAGGCAAGTGTGGTGGCATAGGCTGTAGTCCCAGGTACTCAAGGCTGAAGCAAGTAGCCTGCTTGTTCCTAGGAACTCAAGGCCAACCTGAATAGCATAGGAAAACTCCCCTCTCAAACACTGATCAGTAAAACACCATAAATTTACAAGGAAAAGATATAAAAAAGAGTAATAAGCATATGAAAAGAGACCGTATTAATAATAACTAGAGGAATGTAAATTGTAATAGTGGTAGATAGTGTCACAATTGAAGATATATAGTACAGGTGGAAGTGTAAGCAATTCATTCAATTTTATCCCTCATTTATTTACTGTGTGTGCATATGTTTGGGCGGTGTGTGTGTGTGTGTGTGTGTGTGTGTGTGTGTGTGTGTTTGTTTTGGTCAAAGAACAACTTGTGGGGTTCAGTTCTCTTCTACCATGTGAATGCCAGGGACCCAACTTGAAGTATAAGGTTTCACAGCAAGTGCCTGTATCCACTGTGCTGGCCTGATTGGTTACTCATATTGCTAATGAGAATATAAAAATGTAAATATCCTTTGACTTAATAGTTTTACTCACAGGAACAGATCTCAAAAATACAACTGTACATTGATATAAGGATATGATATATGTAATACTATTTTAAGATTTACTTTATGTGTATGAGTGTTTTGCTGATGATGCCTATGTATATATCTGATGCCCATGGAGACCAGAAGAGGGCATTGGATTCCTAGGAACTGGAGTTATAGATAATTATGAGTTGCTATGTATGTGTTGGAAGTTGAACTCAGGTCATTTGCAGGAAAAGTAAGAGCTTTTTTTTAACTGTTGAGCCATCTCTCCAGCCATCATGATATATATTATCGTAATCATTTCCAAATTTTAAGTGCTCTTATATTTCCATCAATATGATAAGTGAATTATAGGCTACTGAAATATTAAGTATTCATTTAAAGATTATATTACATAAACTTATATCATGTCAGAATGTGTAAGAGAGGCATAGCATGTTGTTAAACTGACTATAGTTTATTGCAGCAGTTCTCAACTTTTGGATCATGACCCTTTTGGGCATCACATATCAGATACTTATGATTCATAGCAGTAACACAATTACAGTTATGAAGTAGCAGTGAAATAATTTTATGGTTGGGGGGGGTCACCATGACATGAGAAACTGTAGTTGCAGCATTAGGATGGTTGAGGACCACTGGTTTATTATTATGTAAGGTTTCAGAGGTGCTATAGCATGAGCTAATATCTCTGAGGTAGACAATGGATGGTTTGACCTGTTTTAAACATTTGTAGCCCGGGCAGATTGCAAACTTGGCATTTTTTTTCCTCCACTTTCTGAATGCTGGAGTTGCAGTTGTATAATATCACCATCTCCTCTTGAACTTGACTTTGTAAAAATAGTTTTATTACTTCCTGAATGTGTTGTCTAACTCTTTTGTAATTGCCTGAAGATCAGAGAAGCAGAGCAGCCAGCCACTAGTTTTTACCTCAACCGAATCATCAGACCTATTGGGAAATCCTCAGACTGAATGCTCTGAGCTCCTATCTCCTGCTGCCTTATATTCCTCTCTCTGCCCAGCCACCTCCCTAGTGCTGGGCTTAAAGGCATGCGATCTCAAGTGCTGTGATCAAAGATGTAAGCTCAGTTTCTCTTTTAGACTGATGTAATCTTTTATAACCCAGGATGGCATTGAACTCACAGCGATCCTGGCCTCTATAGTTAAACTAGTGTAACTAGCTCCACACAGTGATCTTCAGGCAAGCTTTATTTGTTACAGCACAACCTCCAATGAAATGATGTAGAAATTATCACATTAGTGTCATTTATTATGTGGTTACTGAGGATAGTCTCCATTCTTACTATAGTTTTGCAATGTCATAATAATTTGGTATAAAATTATGTTTTCCTCATAAATTTGTTTGTTTTCAGAATACATTAAAATGGCAGATCACTATGTTCCAGTGCCTGGAGGACCAAACAACAACAATTATGCAAATGTGGAATTAATTCTTGATATTGCTAAAAGAATCCCTGTACAGGTAAGAGTTTTGGAGAAATAACTTCACCCATTTTACATGTAGTCAGAAGTGTAGAACTTTTATCCAGATAACTTAATGTAAAGTCTCTTTTTGGAAAATTCTTTTTTTTAAAATAAATTTTTAATGATGTATTTTCATTTTATGTTCATTGGTGTTTTGCCTGCCTGTGTCTCCTGCAGCTGG